CATAAATGCACTCATTCAAGTATTGAAAACATTGACAGAACATAATAGGATAATCTAAGTTAGTTCCATAAATATTAAGCATAGCTATTACAGTTCCTGCTTCCTTGCATCAATAATAATTTGTTGCACATCAATTGGTAATCTTTTTTGAAACAAACTAGCCACATATTTAGCTGTCTTTGAAGTATTTGTAAGTAAATTTGTACCACACAATATTCGTAGATTAATATTTAAATTCATTTTATACTTTATTAATAAAAGTTTCTCCTATTCTACTAAATGAGTCTCCTGTAGATAAGAAATATCTGCCCTTAACATATTTTAAATATGCTAAAATTTAATTTTGTTTTTCGGTTCTTGAGGTTCTTTTTATATTAACTTCATTAATTTTATTTTGGCCCACTTATCAATGTTTTCCCAACAGCAATTCATTGTATAATCTGCATCATTTCACAAATATCTAGTTATGAACTTTACAGTATTTAAATATTTATCATATTTTTAATACTATTTACAGATGTAGAACCTTCATAGGAACTCAAATGAATATTCAAATAGCAATATATTACATATGCAGAGAATCTATACTTAACAGAAAAAAATGTGATTATAAGAAATTAAAGTAACAAAGAATGACATCTATAAACTACCAAAAATCTTGTTCCTAGTAACATTTAAATGGGCAAGAGTACATCATAGGGCAACCATTTTTGAACCAAAGTACCTCAAATGGGCTAACTTACAAAATATGTCCAATTATCCGGGACTCGTGAATCTTGAGGGAATGAAACATGAGAAAATTATGGCTGCTTCAGTACTGCTGCTGCTTCAGCTCTGCTGGGCTGCTGCTGCAGTCTTTTGATGTTCATTTTGAATGTTTCATGAGTTTCCCAGCCATTCTCGTAACGCCTTGCTCCTTTCCTCACCCAGCAGCAGTGACTTACCTACATGCTGGCAACTGGCAAGGGAAGAACAGGAAGAAATCCGCCCCCACACTCCCAGCCTAAACCGCTGTGTTCCCCCCCCCCCAATGCTCTTTTCCAACCTGTGCCATCCCTGACATATATGGAATTTCTTGTGGCCCCCTTACCTGCCTGTGAGCCTTGGACTTGCAACTTCCAAGCTTCCCCATTGATTCTCTTATGGCAAGATACCCACAAGGAAAGGGAAGGGAAGGGAAGGGAAGGAAGGAGGGCAGAAGGGAGAAAAGAACAGTGAAGAAGGAAGGGAGAATGTTGCTTCCATCTGTTCCCTGCCAGCTTCCCACAAGAATATTCAATGGGAATGCCAGCAGGAAATCAAAAGCCATTCCCACTCAGTGCTTTTTTGCCCAGACTATGTCTGTGTTTAGGTAAAAAAAAAAATCTGAAACAATAACCCAACAGCACACGGATTATTTATAAAACTGAAAAGAACCTTTACTTCTCCCCCCAAGAAATAAAGAATTGCATGACTTCTCAGTGAGATAGTATTGTAGTTCATCTCTCTTATTACAAGTAAATACACAGAACAATTTCAAACCAAGCATTTAAACTCAAAGATGAAGACTTAAATTGGCAATATGCCCAGACTCATTATCGTGAAATTGCTAAGAGTACAGAGACAAGAAAAGAAAAAAATCCAGTACCTTTGCAGTGAGGCTTTTCTTTCCCTCACCTCAGGCAAATTTATACGTCTCCCTTGCCATGAAATGAAACACAGTCAAACTTACCCATCCACCAATTTCAACTATAAAGGTCTTTGCATTCATATGGTTATCAAATCTCTGGTCTTGATGATCTGTTGGAGGTAATTGCTGGAAACCACATAAAATATTGTGATTGTACTGATCCAGTGAATTCAGGTTCTTCTAAATAAACTTATTTTATCTTGAGACTTCTTTGGTAAAACTAGGATAGAATGATACTTTAGTATGGCTAGAACTCCAATAAGGATTTTACCAATTCCTGGTGAAATATACATAATGTCGTGGTTGACTTGCTATGCCGCCCTGCTTGCAACCAGACAACAGTAATGGGAGGGGGGAGGGAAGGCACTGGAAGGTAAGGGAGGTTTGGGAGGGAACTGTGGAAAGCAAGCGTGCCACCTGGAAGCATGAGGCAGACCTAAACCTCAAGGTCATCGACTGGGAAACAAAAACGTCAGAGCTGGCTTTTCTACTTCTGTACCCATATGGCTTTTCAGAAAAGTTATATTGTTGAAGCAAAAATGTCCCAGGGGCTTCTTTTCCTGTTTCATGCAATGGGATGATTGATACATAAAATCTCTTCCCTTGTGGTAATACGAAAGAAATGTACAATAAAGATACTGGAACTAGCTCCAATTTTTTGCCTCATTGGAGAAATTTTAAACAAATGTTTAAACCTGGAAAATCCATTGCTAAAATGGGGAGCTTTCTGAAAAAAAATGTTCCATAAATGCAGCCAGGTTTATAGCATAGTAATCAAATACATATTTATTTCATTCTTATCTCCTGAAGTTGTCTGAGAGAAATTTCAGTTAGGCCAAGAGCCAATAGTACAATTAATAAAAGACCCCCAATCTCATCTCCTATCTATCTAATTGTAAGTTAAATCATTTTATATTAAATATGTATTTTCCTAAATGATGCTATCTAAAAATGAGAGCTTTCCAAACTTTCTAACATAAACAGCTTTGTCCTGAATTTAATCTATACACTGGACTGGACTGGACTGAAGAGAGAAGTATAAATTTAATCAATAGAATACATTTCTGCATAAAACATTGTTAACTTCCAATTTCATGTATATTGATCCTAGAATGAAAAAAAATCATATAAATACCCATTTTATAATGTATTGCTACACTGAGATTATATATTGCCCAAAGAAAAGAGAAGATAGCAGCAGCAATATAATTTTCTCATGGTAGTACATAATTTCAGGGGCAATAAAGTTATCCTGAATAATTTATTATTTAAAGCACTTATTCCACATAATTATTCCACATTATTCTGACATTTAATAGCCCAATAAATTTTATGACGTGATAGAAAACCTAATAACTTTAATTCCCATTTATATTCTTGGGTCTTTACTGATTAAAATTATATTTAGTTTCCACTAAAATTATTCAAATAGGAAATTTCAAGAAGGCAACCCTAGAAATGGTATATAAATATTTCAAATCAATCTATCCATCCATCCATCCATCTATATTTATTTAGAAAGACAGACACATTTATTTAGAAAGAAAAACCACTAATAAGATACAATTTAGCAAAAACCAAAATTTAAAAGTATTTATGGCATTTTAAAAATACAGTTATTATGTTTTACAGTTAAAAGTTAGTCACCAAATATAACTGCATGGTCTAAAAAGCAATAATAATCACATACATACATACACACAAAAACACACACACAAAACGGGCTCACCAAATACACCAATCTCAGGCCTGGCAATGACAACTAGTTCAGATTATTTTATTATTTAATTTAGTGTAATATATCTATTTGTAAATGAATTTCTTTATAAAAACATTATTTGCCACTAATTTGTGACAGTTTACATGTAAAAAGACTTTGGAACTGCTATTACAAAGAAGTAATTACACATGTAGCATAATAAAAAAAAGGTTCAACTATGTTGAAATGATATTTCAGTTTGTATTACTCAGTAAATCTTATTCTTCAATATATATATATATTATATTTATAAAATTGATAAAAATAGTGCAACCACTCAAGTCACCTTTATTTTAAGAAGAATTTATTCAATCTTTCTTAAGAGGTTAACTCAATAGTTCATAATCAACTGTCACTGACAATTAAAAATCACAAAAGAAGGGGAAATAATTAAATAAGTATGAACAACTAAAAGTGTTTTGTTGCAGGATTATTTTGGCATCTGAGCTGAGAAAACCTAGGCTCTTCTTTGGCAATAATAAAGTTACTATCAATTTGTTGTTTTATCATAAAAGTGATAATAACTTCTTTTAGGTTGCCAAATTTAACAATTAACCAATTACTTATGTAAATAAGCATTCTCCTCCACATTTCCATAGAAGAAATGTACCTTTGGATATATGTGCTTGGTTTAAATTTTGGCATAGCTTGTATACACAATTTTCCACTCTGCAAAATGACTATTCTTTTGATTTCATGAGAATTTATTTCCAGGTATGTATTTGTGGCTAGCTGCAATTGCCGATACTATTTTCTACTTGGGAAAGTTTTCTCTTTAAGAACTTATTATAGTGCATAACTGCAGATAAATTTCATTACTGATTTATACTTATTGTTATTCCGAAAATATAAAAAAAAATTCAATAGGCTATAACCTTATAATTACTGGCTGAGAGTAAACCTGATTAACCTTTCTTTTAAAATTAGGTTTTTGATTGTGTTGGTAGCCTTTTATTATTTTATTAAGAAAAAAAATCCTTGTTTCTCTAGCTGTTTCCGTAATATAAAAATACTGGAAGTAAAACTTTAATAATTAAACTTTTGGAAAACTTTTTGCTTCCATTATTTTTATATTAAGGAAACAGTTAAGATTTTGTCTACTATTCTTTTGATATTTTGTTATCAGCACAATCTTTTTACAACCGTTGCTTATAAAACATTTTTAGTTGGACTGAGATTTATTAACAACAGATGACAATGGAAACATCCATTAAATACAGCAGCAAGAAATCTTTAGAATCCTGTTTATCGATAAAAAGGAAGTAAACCACAACATAATTCAAGAATTTCTAGCTGTGAAGGAACATGATAAAGGCAGTTGGGTTATTTTATCACTTCTCACTTAGCATTAATGTCTGTTATTATAATACCATTAATCTTTTAACTTAAAACTTGCATTTCATATATGTAGTAGATAGATATTTTAAAAGCTACCTTTTTAGGATCATAATATCCTGGAGACATATAAACATTCAGTTCTGAGTGGAGATATTCTGTGCAAAATATGGATGTCCACAACACAGGCAAGGTTTCTTTCAATATTTTCATACCCATACATTTTTCAGGCGCCCATATGTAATTCTTTGATTATATTCTTCAGTGCAACAAATAAATAAAATGTACTCTTTCTGAAAAAAATCATTATTTCAGATGGAAATAACATGTCATATGGCAAGCTAATACAAGATCCTTGAAAATAAAGTTCCATTATATCCATAAACGGTAAAATCCGAGTGCTACGGTAAGGCATGTAAATACTGAACCTAGATGAAGAAATGGAGAAAAAATATACGTAAGGGTTTCTGGATATAAAAATAAGTTTAAATATGGTTGTTTTAGTCCTTTCAAAAATACAATTCTATCAACATTAAAATGTTCTAACATATTACTAGAATCTCGCATGTAACTGTGTATTGTTAGACAACATGGAAACTAATGTTTTGCTAGGCTGTGTAGATCAAAGCCTATTATTATCAATATCATTTCAGAGAATGAAGAAATTGAAAAAAGGACTAATAATCAAATAAATGGAAGAAATACAATAGTAAGTAGGACTAGAGTAAAAAGATTGTTTAAATTATTCTTTCAAGTTTTTTATCACAATTTTAAAAACAGTTTATGCTATTCAAATTTAATACATACATATATTAAAATAAATTTATGCTAATATGACCTGTTTTATAGATCCTATCTGTTTTAGCAATTAAGTATCAAAAGTGAAAGCTATACTGTGTAACTAGTAGGAAAAATTTATTTCCAGCATCAAAAACATAGCCAATGTAGACAAGAGATTATGCCAACCAAATATACCAATAGAGGTAATAACAAGGGGTTGTATGTTAATCTAAACTAATATACTAAACAGTCAGTTTCTGGTACCAATTAGAAACTATCATTTTTGACATAAATATTAAACGTAAGCATAAACTGAGCAGGCAAATAAGGAAGTTGACCAAGCATATATGTAGACAAAGGATAACTTACCAGCTAAATATTTGATATTGTCAAGTTTGTGTGATTCAAGCATTGTTTTCAGACCTGCAACTTCAGTATCTATTTTCCTATAAGTCTGTGTTAAAGCTCGATCTTGCTGGGCATGCTTAAAGTAGAAAAAACACCTTTAAACAAATGTGTTAATATAATACCATTTTAAGCATCTTATTAAAATATTAGGCAAACATACCCCAAAAATAATACTGTACATTTTTTATGTAACAGATTCTCTTTTTTAATATATAGTTTTAAAGGGGGGGGGGGGAACCTACTTTTGCTCTAATAAAATGTGGTATATGTGTTTATTACTACATAGTGCTAATTGCTTGTGTACAGTATTACAATCACATTGAAATGCTACATTCTTTTTTCCCTGTCTGAGAATTAAAAATTCACTTCTAATATAACTTAGTTGAATATATGTAGGTAGGGCAGCACTACTTAAATAATTTCACAGATTTAATACAAAAGTTGAATCAAATATCTTAATGTATATAGTATTAGGGTTTTTTAAAATTTGTGAATGACACTTCATTTCAAACAGATTTAAACCTTCACCAACCTTCACCAATTCTCAAAAACCTATCAAGACTTCATATTGCTTTTGGAGATATATACCAGTTGGATAAATTATGCTTTGGAAAATATAACAGGACTTACTAAGAACAAAAGGCTAAATGAGGGAAATATCTAAGGATTTTTCTTATTTCTAGATGATATTCATATTCTAAAATAGACATCAGCTTAAAGCCATATATTATCATCCATCATTTTTGCGTAATTCATGATTTTTAATTTCCTAAAGCTTTAAAACCTTTTCATTTAAACCTTTTCATTTTTATATTGCACTATAATTTTTCTAGTAATTCATGAAAGAGTAAGAACCAGCTGTAATGGTCATAGTCAAAAGATCTATTTCTACACTATTCAGGCTGTTTAGACAGCAACCCCATTATACCACAGCTTTGTCTTGTGTACCAGTTGCACTCATTCCTGGGTCATTAAGCCCAGTCACAGTCAACAAAGCTCTGGGCACTTCCACATTGGATCTGGACACTTCCACATTGGACTACTGCAATGCGTTCTACATAGGGCTGTCTTGAAGACTTTCTGGAAACTACAGCTTGGAGAAAATGCAGCAGCGCAGGCAGTTATATGCACTTCTAAAGCAGCCCATGTTATACTTCTGTTCCAGAAGTGGGCTGCCAATTTGCTTGCAGGTCCAATTCAAGATCTGGTTTTAATTTTAACACCCTTCATGGCATGGGTTATCTGAGGGACTGCCTCTCCCAGTTATATCAGCTATCCATCTATATCGGGCAGAGCACGCATGTTGTGGGTCCCATCGGCTAGGGACCTTTAACTGAGAAGTCCCAGGATAGGTGTCTTCTCTGCAACAGTACCTACCTTATGGAAACATTCTTTCCCCCAACATTAGATTATCATAGCTCCATCCCTATTGGTATTATGAAAAGCCTCACACTTCTGCTGTCCAGCCATGTGGCTCCCAGGCAACTGCTCAGATGGCTCTATTGTTGAGGTAGCCATTTTTATTCCCCCACTTCTATGGTTTGTATCTTTTGTTTTATGATATTTATTACTAAAAATGATGTTTATGGTGTATATTTTTTGTTTTTATTTATGGTTCTTATGTGATTATAGTTTGCTGCTCAGAGTTGCCTTCTGTGAGAGGGATGGCTATATTCATTTGATTAATTAATGATGTCTAAGTAAGTTTGAAAACAGATATGAAAAGGACTTTCACTATGATTAATAATTATATTAATAATTATATTTGTATTTCTTACCAATTCCACTATTTCTGTTCTCATTTTCAATACTTTCCTATCATTAAGTGAATACTGAAAAAGAAGAGAGTAGTTAGTTATCTTCTGCTTCTAAAAAAAAAGGTCACCTTCCATTTGTCATTAATCGTCTTAAAATATCACTGCAGCTAGAGTTCATATGAATGAAATACTATCTAAATACCATCAGGCAAAGTTCCAAATGAAATTCTTTTAAATCTACATTGGCCCAGGAAAACCATAAATATCTTCCAAAGTTTATTTTTAGCTATGATTCTTGAACTCATTAAGCACTAATGAGGAGAATCTAAACTCTGCAGCCAGCGAGCTTAAAATAATTTAAAGTTCTTTTAAAAAAAGGATTATCTAAAACAAATGTTTAATCCATTAGTTTAATTCATTTTAATTCATTTAATCTAATGGATTAAACATTAGACAGGTGTCATCCTCACAATACTATTTGATCAAATAGTAACATAATTAAGAGAACCTGTTTAACAATTAACACAGAATTGCATGATACAGTATGACGGTATTTCTGAATAAACTTTATATAAAAGGAAAGTATACATACCAATTCTTTTACTCTGCTTTTTTCTAGATTGAAATCTAACTTGCTATCTGTTCGCACTTTAGAAGTTTCATCCTAGAAAAAAAAAATTCATAGAATTAAACTGAATGCCTGTATTCAGATTCCTTAATCAAAAATAGCAATGCTATATTTAATGAAATTTTCCACAGTCAATGGCCCTAAATTATTCCAGAAATATGTCATTTCTTTTAATATACTACCAAACTCTCCTCCTGCTAAATTGTTCCAGGTTTTTCAGAGACCCAAAGCAGAAGGAGAAGACTAAATTAAAAGCATGAAAATGTGTATTTTACTCAAATGTATACTACTCTCTATATTACTTGGTATCCGGTCAAGAAACCTCAATATAATTTATAAAAGGTGCCTTAAGTTAGCTGAATTCTGCCACACACCCTTTCCATTGCTATGATACAATATCTATTGAACACTATCACAGAAACACCCATCAATGATTTACTTTTTCAACAGCAGTATGTTTCACTACATAATCCAGTGCGAGAAATGATTGTAATTTATAATGTAGGGAAAGACATTATAAGGCATATTCCAAAGCAGTACAGGTATTCATCAACCTACAATAACAATTGAGCCCAAAATATGTTGCTAAGCATAGAAATTGCTGTTAAGACAGGTCAGTGGGCTTTGCTCCATTTTACGACTTTCTGGCCACAATTGTTAAGTGAATCACTGCAATGGTTAAGTGATCACTGCGGTTGTAGAGTGAATCTGGCTTCCCCATTGACTTTGCTTGTCGGAGGGGTGCAAAAGGTGATGACTTGACCCCGGGACACTGTAACCATCATGAATCAGCTACCAAACTTCTAGATTTTGATCATGTGACCATGGTGATACAGCAATGGGTTGTAAGTGTGAAAAATGGTCTGAAGTCACTTTTTTCAGTGTTTTAATTTCAAATGATCACTAAACTGCTATAAGTTGAGGACTAGCTGTATTTCAGAGTATACAACCTCTATCAACTACCTATAAGAAAGACTTCATTTTTTTGCTGAAGATATTTTAGCTATGGTAATTTTACTAGAATATTTTTATTACCAACATTCTTTTAGCACTGTTTCCTATGGATTAATTTATTATAGATGAAAAGCAAATTAAATGGTTTCACTTTACGTAGACAACTTATTTTGATAACAGAAGACCTAGCCCTCTTCTTAAATTTGGGGCTTAGTAAATTTTCCCAGCAATTTCTTGGTACAGCCAGGGCACAGGCCAAAAGATACAAGATAGAACTTTGTTCCATGTACAGATTGTTAGTATAAATGCATGGGATATGTATATCATGTGTATTTAGTACTTTGTCAGCATATAATTTCATTATCATTCTGAGTTGTAAGAGTAAAAGCAACAAACCCTTTCTAGACTAACACAGAATTTTTGTATTCAGCAGTGACTACCCGTATTTATAGAAACTCATACATATTCCTCCACCAAGTGCTTGTAATTTTAGAATATAATCCTATACATATTCATTCAGAAGTAAGGGCAGTAGAATTCAATGGCATTTGCTCCTATATAAGTCAATACAGGGTGAAATTATAAAATAACTTCTTACAGAAAGTAGATATTCGTTCTACATTCTGAAGTTGCATTTCTAAAATAATGTAACTTACTGTTACTTGCTTTTTTAGCTGCTGAAGTTCAAGTTTTATTTTCTTTGCATAAAAAAGAGAATAAGCTTAGTTAAAATACCAGGCAAAAAAGAAGTGAAGCATGTAGCAAATACAGATTTTAGTTTACACTCAACTTAGTTTAATAATGAGGTAGAAGAGGGGAACTTGGAATTCTCACTTAACTACATTAAGTACTATGTATGAGTGAGTGTATATAGATATATTCAAAACACACCTACTGTATATGCCTGTACAAAGCTGAACTGAATGTACCCTGTTTCTCCAACAATACGGCCTCCCCCAATAGGAAGTCCCAGCATGTTTTATAGGCATGAAATGAAATTAAGCCCCTCCCCCCAAATTAAGGCCTATATTAAAACATGCAAAATGGGGGGGAATTGGGGGGGCGCTTGCCATTAGGAAGTACTTTTGTTGCACACCTGGATATGGTGCTGCCTGCATTGACCCCGATACGAAGTGCCCCACCAATGCTGAGGTCAACATCCAAGCTGTCGCCGCCCGCCCGCCCGAAGATGCAAGGGGGAGGGGAATTAAGTCACCCCCGAAAAGACGACCTAGCCATTTTTTCGGGGCTTAAAAAAAAATAAGACCCGGCCTTATTATATGAGAAACACGGTAGCAAGCACATTGATCTTATTAAAGAATTCATAAATATGAACATGGAAGTGAAAAAGGGAAGTAAAAAATCAAGATTTGCAGTCTCAAAGAAACTATATTGTTTTGTATTTTTGTTGGTTTTCATGAAATGAAATAGGCACCAGCATAGCACATTCTTTTGTCTACTGCTCTCAGTGTGATTAAATACAAAACCCTTTCAATAGTATGGTGTCAGTGATTTTATTTAGTACAAGGTTTCTATCTTAAAACTGAAAACAAAAGCCTTTCCTTAATTTCAGATGGTAGCTGATATTCAATAGATTCAACGTACAGTATTTTTGAGCCACCACTAAAATTTCATCCACATGTTCAAAAAATACCCATTACACTTTTTTAAAAAAATTACCTCATTTTCTGATCGGAGTGCTGAAAATTCACTCTTTTCCAAAATAATCATATCCTTTTTTACACCACCAATGTGAGACATTATCTGCTGAACAGCAATTTCCTTTGGAGCAAGAGAAAAAGGGTTTCTTCAGGCCATCAGTGCTAAGATATCACCCTCAATGTTCATTCTAGCTACAAGGTTTATGCAATATATTGTAGAACTGATGGGGACTTTATTTAGTTGAATGTAGAAAGGAATATATAAATAATATAAAAATCATTCTGCCCAGTTTCCATGGTGTGAAAAAGGAATGCTTGATGAGATCATCTCATCTCATCTATTTATTTATCCATCCATCCATCCATCCATTGGGAGGGAGAGGGAAAGGTAGTTTAGTTTTATGATGTAGGACTATTTAAGCCATGATTTACTACATTCCTGCAGTATGCATGTTTGTGCAATACTTTGTCTATTACAATTGTTTGAGATTCAAAGGCCAAAAGCAGTTTTGGCATCTGCTGAGGTGCTCACATGACCTCTGTTATTACTTAAAATAGTTCTGTCTTTTCCTGAGAATGGCAGGTGCTTTCTGCAGTTGTAGTGTGATCTCCAAAAATGTTTATTTGATTTGAAGAGTTGTAAGACAGATGCCATATGCATGGCCACACACTCACCTTGGACTCATGAAGAAGTACTAACTTTGAAGGTAAATATAAGAATCCATGCAAAATAAAGCCATATCAGCAAACAATGAATGCTTTTGCATGGTTTATGAATAGATGGAGATCAGAGTATTCTATTGTTTAGCACAGACATATTTTATATGTTTACTTCGTAACACATTTTGTTAGTAGCACTATCAAAACTAGTTATAACTAAATTTCTATAATTTAGATGGATTTAATCTGAGTCCACCCTAGTAAATATAATTATATATTAAATACTTTCTCAACCTGTTGCATTTTGGTGACCATGTCTTTGTGTATCATATCCATATTGTTTTTCATGATGTTCATTATAGCAGACACAATGATTTCAGACTGCTGTGTGGTGAATCCTAAAACAATATAAAACATTATTTACTACATACACATTGCTTCAACAAAGATAATCATAAAAACAAGAGCTTTCAATAATAATTTGGTGAGCTGTAAAAAACTCTACCCTTTCCCATAGAATTATCATTAGAGAACAGGCCACCAATTGTGCCCTTAATCCTTAAGGCAATGATCTTAACATCTTCCAGCACGAGGTGTCCTCCTGGCACCCAAATTTTTCAACATTTTACCTTCCCTCCATGCCCTGCCTTCCCTTATAGCCACTGACAAATTATGGCCTTTGCATCTGTTCTTACTGTAACGTTTTCAAGTGTTCCCAGATGGCATGTTGCAGTTTGAATATGGAACATATAAAATTGATATGTGTGTATAATATTTGAAAAAAAGCCCTACGCATAAGCCTTACATTATTGTAAGAGGCAACTAGTGAGAAGGTAGCATCTTAAATAAAATCAATCAGCAATGAAATACTTGTATGATTTATGCATATGAATATTTAACAGCATTACTTTCAAAATACAGAAATGGATAGAAAATGAAATCTAGTTTTAATATGTAAGTAATATCCAAAGGTGCAAAATCATTCATATTATCTTCCCACAAAAACACATGCTTACTATTACAGTGACATAAATACACTACAACTAAATATAAATGCCAGCTAATTTACTCCAGGAAATGTATGCAAAATAGTATTTATGTAAGTGGTTATTTCTGAAGAGATAAAGGAATACAAAACTGTTATTGTTATTCAAATTGTAGAATAATATATTTGTTACCATTTTCTTCCAAGAGGCATACAAAGGCATGGGTATCAAAATAAAGTGTTCTACTTCCCAATGGTGAACATCTACTTTTGCTGTTTTCAAACTGCAGAGCTGATGTAAAAAAAAAAAAGATTTAATATAAACAAGTTACCATTTTCTCTTTTACAGAAAAACAATGTATTTCAGCTTTAAATAGCTGGGATATATTCTCTATAACTACAGGTTCCACCAATTAAAACATTTAGCGCTATTTTTTAATTTAAAAAATGGAGTGGAATTTTTATAATTCTCATTCCTTTGTCCTTAAATAGTTAACTGCAAACATGCAATGATGGAGAATAAGTATAAAATGTTTATGATTACACACACATACACCATTTAATCTGAAGTGTTTTAACATCAAATTCAGCCCATTAAACTTTTTAAAATGTTTAACCGATTTCACATGGATTAAAATGAAGTACATTCCTAAATGTCCTTTGTTTTAATCTATGTCATCTGAAAGGACTTCGCTTTGATTAGATACTGTTTTCCAGGCCACTTCTTAAGGATGGGGGAAAGGTGACCTTTCAACAGAGCTCACAGCAGTTGTCTTTCTTCAAAGTGCAAGTCATTATACTAATTCTATAGCGCTGGTCTCTGGTCTCCTTTGCTATCTACCAAGATGATCTTGTAGTGTGACTCTGGCTAGATTTTGCCTGCCTTCTTATCCATGAGAATTTAGATGGAATCCTTCCTTCTATGGCCCAGGGATTCCATCTAAATTCTCATGGATAATTTATCATTTCTAAGATAAACTACTGATTTTATGGAACTTGAAGCATTAACAGTTCATTATATTTCTTTTGTTGTTGCTTTATTCATTTGATTTTTTTAATTTTTTTAATTGTATTTTTTAATTAATACACATTTTCAATAATTATTTTAAGTCACATTTATTGCAGTTTTAATTATTTTAAGCCATTGCTTTAAGGTTTTTTAAAATAGGAAACAGAATACAAATCTTTTAATCAAATTATAGTATAAGTTGTGGGATGCAATCCATTTCATCAAATCCTTAAATAATTATCCTGAATAATAGACTAATAGTGTAATTTAGACATCTTCTAAATCTGGTCAGCTTGGCTCACCTAGTATGATATAGGTAAGGATGTTCTGTGCAGGCAGCCTTTCCAAACACCCAGAGCCAGTAAGATACTTTTTCCTCCAAATCCTTTTTACCCTATAAAGATATTCTAAGAAAAATTCTGCTAGCAGAGGGAAAGTTGTTTCCTTTATAATTTAAATTTTGTGACCATGTGCATATATCGGAGGGAACTAAACCTTTGATTTTTTTAAAAAAAGATATTTACTGCTTTTCATTTTTCAGTCTTTTTTTTTTTAATCCTGTGGTAATAATGATGGATGGCTGAAGAGCCTCCCAACAATTTGTGGTATTTTTGTTTGTACTTGCTCGAGTTTATTTTTTGTTCTATAATACGTTCACATACACTAATCAAACAAAAAAATGTAGAGCTTCTAGATTTGTGTGGATCAGACTATCATTAACTTTCCACTTTGTATTTTTGATTGTGACATGACTTACTGCTTAAAATTACTCTGCCTATTATAATCTGCTACCAGTTCCGCAGAGTTGGGTACTAATCAAGTCTAGTAGATGCTTATTTAACACATCATACAATTGTCAAATTGTGATTGGTTATTTATATGGAAGTAGTCAGTCTATAAAATTATACATCAATATTAACAATTATAGAACATGTGGCTAATAAATTAAATTCCATAAATATAATAAATCATCCTTTGCCACTGCACCTAGATCTTTTATCATTTATTACCTAAATGATGTGATCATTTACAATCAAACCGACACACAAAGGAGCTTTTTTTCTAGAGGCAACTGGACTGTCCGTTTTTTCTTTGAAGACCTTTCGCTTCTCATCCCAGAAGTCTTCTTCAGCTCTGACTGGATGGTGGGGAATTCTTCAGTCAGAGCAGGAGGAAGCTTCTGGGATGAGAAGCGAAACGACTTCAAAGGAAAAAAAATTAGAAAGTCCAGCTGCCTCCTGAAAAAGCAACCATGACCTGGATGACTCCATAAATCAAACCGACACCTTCCAAATGTTTCGCGTTATATAATACAACCTCCACGAACTCTTGATCACTAACCGGGGAGAAATCGAAAACGTGGAAAGCGCATCGGGTTAACTACTCCGCAGTAGAAGAGCCTGGGGGGAAAAAGCTGCTTTTTCCTACTCCCCAAGTACAGAGAAGCCCTCCACAGAAGCGACGCGCAGGTGTCCACCCCTCCAACCTGCCCTGCCCGTCTCACCTTGTCCTTCCACCGCTCGGCAGCGGCTCCCGTTCAGGCTGAGGAAGCGGCTCCCCACGGCAGGCGAAGGGAAGCCTTCGGCACGGGACAAGGACGAGGCGCGCGCCTCGGAGCACGGCCGCCAGCCCGGGCTGACTCCCGCCGCCGGCCGCGCGCGCGCTCGGAAAGCCCTCCTCGCCAGGCCGCTCGCCCGCTTCCCATCTCCTAGGCAACCGGCGGGGAAAGGGGAGCGCGCGGCGCCGAGAAGGACGCCGCGTTCTCCCTGAACGAAGAGGAAGCCCTTTTGCCCGTTCCCCACGATGGCGGCAGCGGCTAGACTTCTGACCATCCCTGCTTTGGCTTTGCACGACGCCACGGAGCCGTTGTTGTTGCTCCCTTCGCGCCGGAGGTCTACCGGTGGCTCTCTTTAGAAAAGCGCTCAGTTCCTCCAAGTTTGCTCAATTCCGGCGTGTACGGGTCCCGGTTCGGCGCGCGAGACGCATGCGCCTCCATAAGAGGCGGGTGGTTTCGAATGACGTTCGGGAGATAACACCCGCCCGGCTATGTGTCACCAGTTGTTGTCGTTTTTCTTCCCCTCCCTTCTCCGGCTGACGGGCGTGCACACTTGGAAACAAAACGAGCACACGCGTACGTAGCCCGTGGGAAGAGCCCCAACATCCTCAGAGAGGCGGGTTCCGTATGCACGCCCGCCTACAGTAATTACACGCTGGGGAGAATTGCACACAAACGCGCAGGTGTGTGTGTGAGAGAATCCTGCAAAGGAAAAGGTGCTTCCCCCCCCCTTCTTTTTCAGCAGGCAATTGTACTTTCTTTTTTCTTTTGAAGACGTTTCGCTTCTCATCCAAGAAGCTTCTTCAGCTCTGACAGGATAGTGGGGAATGGAAGGATTTCTATTCCTTGCAGACAGCTGGTCATTTGCATCCTTTTAAAGGGTCACCTGAGAAGTACTCCTGGTTCCTGGTTGTACCTTTGGGACTAAGAATCTCTACAGACTTTTAGCTATACAATTTGGGATGAACACCCTTTGAATGGTGAGGGCATATAAATGGATTTCCAGAAGAAAAATGGCAGACTACAGGAACCAGGAGTACTACTCAGGTGACCCTGAGGACTGGAGTGGAAATCATCCCAAAATATCATTCTGAGGCCTTTCTCCATAAATGAGTTGAAATCATTTCCACCCGTCTTTGAGCTTGCAGCCATCTTTATCATCCTGAAAAGGATGCCATCCAAAACTCACAGCTGATCATTTTCTGTTGCCTCTGTTTGAAATCACTGTTAAATTTCCCTGAATTTTTTTTTCCAAAGAAAAATTGGTTTAACCCAAAACCAAAAAGTTCTGCAATGTTTCCCTTTCAGCAATCGTACACAGTGTGGGATGGGGCTGAAAATGCAAAAAAGTAACTATTGGGCTACCACATGTACACTTTGGGGGTGAGGACACATTCCTAGAATAAAAGGAATTAGAGATGTGTGCTACTTGTAGTCTTTACAGGATTCCAGTGTTTAGTTTTTAAACTACCATTCTCCTTCTGCACTTGCCAGAAACACAAGTTATGGAATTGTAAGAATACTTATTAAAATATTTTTACCCTTTTCTTCAGATAAAAGTAGTTTCCAAAAGACTTGACATAAAATCAACAAAATCAAGATAGCCCTTGTCTATAGGTAATCCTTCACTTACAACCACAATTGAGCCCAAAATTTATGTTTCTAACTAAGAAATGTATTAAGTGAATTTTACTACTTTTGTTGCCCCTTTTGTTAAGTGAATTACTGCAGTTGTTAAATTAGTAACAAGGTTGTTAAGTGAACCTGGCTTCCCCATTGACTTTGCTTGTCAGAAGGTCACAAAAAGTGATCACATGACCTCAGGATACCGCAACCGCCATAAATATGAACCAATTGTCAAGCATCTGAATGTAAATCACCTGACCACGGGGGTCATGTGATTTACAATGCTGCAATAGTCATAAGTGTGAAAAATGGTCATAATAGGTCACTTTTTTCAATGCCGTTGTAACTTTGAATGGTCACTAAACAAATTGTTGTAAGTCAAGGACTATCTCTACTGGTTTTATACTCCCCCAAAAAGATATCAAGAGTAGAAAAGAAGAAAGGAAGAAGGTTCTAGTAACGGTTTAACAGTATGGGAAATAACAATATTGGAATCAGAAGTGGTTTAGAGCTGATACAGTAATTCTGCTTCCCATCTCTTCTTTTATTCCAACCTGATGGGTTGACAATGAGTTCATGGTCTTTATTTCTCTGCAAAAATATCCTGAAACAATTTAAAGGACTAACTTTGAGATTACATTTGAATAATCAGAAACAAGAATTCACGTTCATTTAGCCAGTGCGTATCGATCCTTGCGATTGTCAGGTTTTGCTGCCGAAACCTCCCGCTTATTTTGGCCTGTGTCCCTTGTGCCATCCCATTTGAATATTAGCTTTATGTTTAAAGACTTGGGAATGATTTAAGCTTTGGAATAAATGCAAAACATAAAAAATAGCCCCATATACTTCCACTTGCCCACTTTGGTCTTGATGCACATTTTCAGTAGACAAGAATCCCTAGGGCACTGATAATATAAGATAAAAATATCAGAAAGTATGTTCATGAATTGTCATAGATCTGTTCTTGGACTGTTAATTTAATAAATACCTAAATATAATAAAGTTCTATTAAATCTAACCCATCTTGTTAAATTATTTAAAAGTTTTATTGTAAGTTTGTTTGTCATCATAGTTTGGAACAAAGGAATCTCATTTACTCCTATTTTCTCTACACAAGAGAGATCTTTCATACTACAGAGATAAAAGGATATACCCAGCTGCAAATGCTGGAAAATCATCTCATTGTCTCGAATTTAGTGTATTGAAATAATTAAATCCTGTTTTATACCATCAAACCATGGCAATAACTTTTTTTTTGAAAATTTTATTTGGGTTTTCACAAAAACAAAATACAAATAAAACCTCTTTTTTGAAAATAGCATGGTCCCAGGTTATCACTTCTTCATACAGACACAAAACTCAATTTCATGCTCATTTTTATATTCTATTCCATATTACCATTTTATATTTTCTACATAGTTTTTCCCCTCTTTTAATTTTCTCAGCTTTGTTTTAATTATCTCAATTCAAATCATTATATTTATACTTTTGTCTGTCCTGTTACAATTTCACATCTTTTCTTATTAAGCAAATTTTTCCCTGTAGTTACCAATTAGAGTATGACACCTTTATATCCTTTAATTTTATCCGTTCAAGCTCTTATTTAAGCTTCAATGTATAGCTTTAAGATTATAGTATTCAATATAATACATAACTTCCAATCAAATTCTGCTTGGTACATTCTTAAAATAAACACTATATTCTTAAAAAGAAAAAAATTATATATATATATATATATATATATATATATATATATATATATATATATATATATATATATATATATGTAAATAAAACACATTCCATTCCAGTTCAATTCTATCATTAATATGCATTAAAATCTTAACATCTTTAACATTTCTTTTCAATTAAATATCATACTTCCTTGGGAACACTTATAAACTTTCCATAGTTAATTCTTTTTTCCCCATATTTCTCACTTATATTTTTTAAATCATTACTAATAATTAAAAATGTTCCCTTTTAATTCTCTCAAT